AGAGGAGGCGGTCTTAAGAAAAGCGTCACCGCCCCAGCTTCTCGCCTATTGGCCGAGGTCTATTTAAACTAGACCTCGGCCAATAGGCTAAATAATTGATGTAATTGATTTAATGGCACAATAATATATTTGTCAAACTTCTTTTTGACCCTATAATTTATTTTAATACGCCAGTTATATATTTATACATTTATTTCCAATAATGATAGGTTTGGTCCTCCATACTATGGAGCCTATAATTTATTTTAATACGCCAGTTATATATTTATACATTTATTTCCAATAATGATAGGTTTGGTCCTCCATACACGCGACCCTGAAAGGAAGAAATGGGTATAGATAATGGATGGATTTTTTTTATTCATAAAATTATGATATAATAAAAATATTAATCGTAAATTTAATGAAAGGTAGCAGAAGAAGAAAATATCTTGTGAATTCTCAACCCTTTAGTCATCCATGGTTTGTCAACAATATTTCTTTTTGCATTTATGCTTTGCACACAATTCATTTCATATAGAGTTCTCAAAATATTCTATACAAAATRTATAGAGTGAAATGTACTCAATCAATGCAAATCTGCACATTAAAATATGCTCTGTATACTCTGGAGAGGCACTAATTATAAAATTACAATCTCAATCAATGCTAATGTCTTTGTGTGTGGGGGGTGGTTACACAAAAATGTCCACACAGTTATATAATATCAGTACAGGTATCAGAATTACTAGACTCAGTGCAGCACAAATTAAATCTGTTTAGACATGCATGCCCTCAGGAAACCAGCAGAGGGTGTTGCACTGAAGTTAGTACACAGCATGTTTCTTTTGCATTACATGTTTATTTTTCCTGATCATCTTTTACTTTGCTTTTTCTGCCAGTTTGYAACATGCTCCACAAAACTATTCAATCCRTCTTCACTGATAAATCCTCATGAAACACGTGTGCCTGTTACCTGTACAGACACGCTCAGACCTGATTACTACCAGACTTGCAGAATCAAAAAAAGCACTTGAAGATTTATTATCCACAAATACAGAAAACACAGTACAGTGGTGAACCATCCCAGGAGCAGCCAGCAGACCAAAGTGATGCGAAGAGGCATCCACTCATCCAGGAGGCCCCAGAACAGCATCAAAAGCAGTTCAGCAGGGCCCCTTTTTATCAAACCTCCTAGAGTGGAATTTTWGACTTAAATGTCGAAAAGATGATTGATAACTGACTTTTAGACTCAGCTTTTAGCTAAGAATTTTTTTTTACACTTAAGTCCATAACAGTATTTTTAAGAGTAACTCTAAGAAGTTTGATAAATATAGGCCCTGGTCAATGTTCAGGATTCAACACAAACACACAAAGGGAGACAAGGAAAAAATGGTTTTGATGTTGAGACTCAAGGTCAAAACCACAACAGAGCAAAAACACAAAAAATGGTTTCACATATGCAAAAAAAATTTTTTTTAATTAAATAAAAACATCTTGATGAGGGATTTTGCAAAAATAATCTGTAGAACTTGTGGAATATTTTTTGGATTTTGTGGTTTTTGTTGCATAAAAATAACAATATTACAAAAAACAGTCCAACATGGTGGAGGTAGTGTGATTGTCTGGGGCTGCTGTTGTTGAACTGACAATACACAAGTGTTGCATCAAGTTGGATTTGACAGCAGGATCCCACAGGAACAAAACGGATCAGGTATGCAGAAATGACCAGGTGTCATTAATGAAAAGAAACCAGGACAATAAGAGGAAAAAAGTAWGAGCGGATCATGTTCAGTGTGAGGAATGATGTGATGATGTTTGAGTTTTGATGTTGATAGCAACAGAACTTCATTCTTAAATTAATCCATTCATTGTAAATTAATTAGGATGCATGTAAAAAAAATAATTCAGTTGGTAAAAGATAAAAAGTCTGGGCTTCTCTGGTCAAGCTGCAGATGGATGGATGGATGGATGGATGGATGGATGGATGGATGGATGATGGAAAAAATAATATTTTGTTGTGTTAAACCTATGGAGGTTTTGATAAACAATACTGGGTTTGAAGTGCCAGTATATTTAAAAGTTTTTCAACTTGCTGCTACTGCTAACTGCTGTTGCCACTAACTACTGCTAGTTGTCAGTTCAATCAGATGTGACAAGCACAGAAATAAGAGAAATACAAGTGCACAGTCGACCTTGTGTCTGTTTCTCACGTTTGGGCTGACTATTAAGAACATGGGAAGTGTGCTCTCTTTTAGAGAAGGACGTTTGTCTATCAGTCCATGAACTTCAAAACATCTGAGTTGTGCAGCAGGACCATGATCCAACCAGCATTCATGCACAGTCACATGAATGACTCATCATGGGTAAAACCAATCAGCTTCAGGGGCGAAATTACCTTTTCATGTAGGGGTAATTTGCTTAAAAAGCTTTTCGCACTTAGTAAATAAAATCATTTTAAAACTATGTTTTACTCAGATTATCTGATATTAACTTTTGTTTAAAAGATCTGAAATGGAAGATATCTGGTAATACTTCCTCACAGTGCTGTAGATAGGACATGTTGTGTGTCTGCCCCTGGGGGACACATGTAGTGAGTCACTGTTTCCTATCAAATGGAGGAACTGAAACGTCTGTTGGACCGACTGCGTTTATTTCACTAATCCTCCCATCAAATGCCCCCTCTGTTTTCTTCTTTTTAATGTGTGTGATGTAAATATAAGTTCACAGGAGGGCATCACTAACACCCGACCTCTTCACTCACAGAGCTCCAGTCATGGCCAAGAAGAGATGTCCTGAGGGTCAGCACTGGGACAACCTCCTGAACACCTGTGGCCCCTGGCCTGTAAAACCTAAACCTCAGCCACCGACAGGTGAGTTTTATTGACCTGTTTTCTGTCTGTTTCCTTCCGTCAGATCTGTTAGAAACCTGATGTTTGCTCCTTGCAGAGCCGGTCCTGATGCTTGCGGACCGGCACCAACCCGCCGTGCTGATGCTGAGTCAGACTCTGTGGATCTGTGTGGTTCTGGTCACTCTGGGGTCCATTTTAGTTCTGATTCTTTGGTTTGTCATATTCAGAAGACAAACCAGAGCCGGCAGCAACCACGGTAAGAGCAGCTCTTAATGATTTATCCAGATTTTTGTTTATTTTTAGGTTTATGTAAAACCTATTAACAGAATTCCTATACTTTATTAGTCATTTGTTGAAATAAAAAACAAGCTATGATGTTTAAAAGCTTGGATTTGATTCCCCAAAATATGAACATATTTTTGATCATTGATTTGATTTAAGAAGTGATGCAGTTCTCAGTGAGTTGAGTTAGATGGTATTTTTAACAAGAAAAATAGATTATATTTWAACATTTATCTATAGGAGGTAAGCTTTACTCAAACTGATGATGAGATCTGAGAGTCGAGTGGAGGAAACASAGCCAGCAGGTGTTGAAGTGTGTCGTTCTTCACAGCAGAAACTCCACAGTTTCTGTTCTCTTCTTAGACGTCCCCTGGGAAGGTGCTGCTCTCCTACAGTCTATTCTGGGTTTAACATGAGCCTGTTGTCTCACACATGTAAAGTAACCCTTCCTTCTTTATTGTAAGATAAAAACCTGTTGTCTTGCATCCATGAATTTAGTTGAAGTTGAAATGAAAGCATTAAAATAAAACGTGTCTGATRTGAGGAGCAGCAGCTGCTGCTTTGTACAGCTTCAAAAACCTAAATCTGACATGAAACTTTCATGTGTAAATACATCAACACTAGAAAATACTAAAAACACGGCCAATACTGTAGCAACAAGTTAAAGTATATTTAAATATGACACAGTTAAGTACAATAAGATACACAGTACAATATTGTATGACACATTAAGACAGCACTATATTAGTGTGTGTGTGTGTGTGTGTATTTAAATATGACACAGTTAAGTACAATAAGATACACAGTACAATATTGTATGACACATTAAGACAGCACTATATTAGTGTGTGTGTGTGTGTGTGTGTGTGTGTGTGTGTGTGTGTGTGTGTGTGTGTGTGTGTNGTGTAGTATAATACAATATTATATACATTATGAAATGACATTATAGAGTGCAATATAATATGACACAATATGAAAAAATCCTATTTAATAGTACAGTGTAATGTTGTATGATTTGATACAGTGTGATATATTCTAGCACAGCATGGGACATTAAACTACTAGAACATGATACAATATCACGTAATACAATAAAAATATGTTGTAGATTACAGCTTAATACAATACAATACAATAAACAAAACATGTAACAAACTATGTTACAATACAGTTTATTTTAATGTCTTTTAAGGAAAATTGATATTTGGACATAGTGCTGTTCTGGCAACTGTCTACACAACTAAAAAGAAATAAACAAATAAAGAATATCCCTAGGGTATTAACCCTAAAGTAACCTCTCCCCTAAAATGCCTTGGGATCACTGTTAAGGAAGGAAACAGAAACAAGCATTTACAGAAAATACATTACAAAAACTCATAATAATAACAGTAATAATTATTATTATTGTTATCATTGCTTTGAATGCACTTTTTTCTTTTTAAACTGTCTGTAAGTAAAAAAAAAAAGCAGATTAAATTTTGGGGTTGATGAGATTTTCTTTAACAAAAAAATAACATTATAACAGTTATTGTCTTTAAAATGTCTCATAAAGTGTAGAGTGTTGGACTGTGGATGGGGACATCTTTTCCACTATGAATTAGCTCAGCGTTAGTGTAAACAATCCTTTGTGGCCATAAATAAATCTGTTTATTTTAGTGTAAAGTGCTGTGGCTGCAGACTATTTGTAWAATTTTATTTAATTTTATTTGTTATAAATTTGATATATCTGAACACTGAAAGCWGGTTTCTTTGTGTTGCAGAAGACCCGGGACCAGAACAAGACTTTCTTCAGAAAACAGAACCACCAAACAAATTTCCTTCGCGACACTCAGACATAAACTTGACTTGCCAGCACRGAGCAGAGGCCCCTTCACCATGTCACCAGTTGCACCCGGGGGGCCAAACCGAGCCACAGTGGGAGGACGGCTTTACCATCTGCAGGGGTCCAGCGTGCAGTGCTGCAGCGGACCACAGAGTGCCACTTCCTGCCACAGAGCTGGAAGGCACAGTGTTAGTCACAACCAAAACTCTGTGTTTATAATATCAGTCACACAACGGCCTCTCATCTTTATTCTAATACAAATATTGTTCTGGGAATYATTATTTTCTATAACAGGTAACTTAGCATTGTATAACACAACGTACAGTATGCTGAGTTTTCATCTTATCTGCCATGTTTTTATGGTTTTCACCAAATGAGAATTGTTTTCTACAACTGTACTGCTTTAATGCAACAAACTATAATTATCACACTGTGGCTTGTACATAAAAAGTTTGTTTTTTTTATGACAAATTCTTGTTAAAGATAAAAGAAAAAACACTTTAATTCTTGTTTCAAACATTATTTAATAAAACAAAAATCAATCACAAAAATATTTCACATGTTCTAAAAACAAAGTAGCATTTTTGTATATCATAAAAATCCATGCTGATTTATTAAATATAATTGTTCAATTTAAAGCTGAACAATAGAACTAAACATAGAATAGGTCTTCACTGTTTCTGATAGAGAGTTGTTGAAATGATGTAGGTTTGATACATTGATATTGTGTTATTACCGCGTAGTCATGGGAAAATAAAGACCACCCTCTTAATTCTACTGTTTTACAAATCAGGACATAAGAAAAATGATTTGATTCTAAAAATATTTAAATCAAACCTTGGGTGTCTTTTTTATTACCCTGACTGTGTTCTGTGGGGTAATAAATATGGAGATGAGTGAATTCCACAGTCTTGCAGCAGCTAAAGGTTATTTACATGGTAAATATTATTTTCTRAACTTTTCAGTCAATTAGTTTCCTGAATGATATAAAAGCAGGTCTGTTCGAAGTAAAGCATGGATTTTATAGCAGAAAAAAAGCAACAGCTCTATTTTCTGATATTCTCACATCAAATAAATTTAATAAATTTAGCACAAAAAGTAAGGAAATTAGTGCTTGGTAGAATATTTGTTGTAACAATGCTTCTTGGTAATAAATCTTACAGCGGGCACATGACTGGTAGCACCTGAATGTACCAGAAGCTCAAAACAAGTGACAATAAAACAACAAAATAAGCTGTTTGACAGAGAGGATTCTGCAGTTTTCATGTGTACAACCCACAGCTCTAMTGCTCATCCCACAGATGCATGTTTCTAAATGTCCAATGGARTAAGATTTATTACCAAGAAGCCTTGTTGCAACAAATAAATATCTACCAAACACTTATTGTCTTTCTTTTTGTGCTAGGTTTAATTTTGATGACAAGCGCAAACTAYAAATTGTGACAGAGCTTATAAAAAGTTTTACACTGGAAGACCACACTAAACTCAGTGTGACGCTGCTGCCTTATCAGCTAATAAAGCCTTCTTCCAGTCATATTTAATGTGAATAAAATGACATCCTCCTCTACAAACGTTCAAACAATAAAACCATCTGGTTGCAGGCTGACAGATGGAGGTGCTAAAGTTGGACCGTCCTTCCACTTCAACTTTGTTTCTAARATTTGAAAATTTATTCAACTGCGTGAATTTTTCAAAAGGTGTAAAYTTTAGGTGTCGGTTTTGGATAGGTGTGTGCAGAAACTGTAACCTSAGGGAAAGGATGCTCATAACTTTATCAGATCAGCTCTGCTGCTCCACTTTCTGCCAGCCTGTTTCTGAACAGAGCCAACCCAGAAGAACCCCCAGCCAGCAGAGCCGAGACAAAGATCAGCCTCAGCTCTGTGTCTTCTGTGCTGGCATCACAAGTAGGTGCTGGGGTTCTCGGTGACAGCCAGGTGGAAGTACTCTGGTGCACTTTCCCTCCGTAGGCYGCCATCAGTGTCTCGCCATCGGACTTTGGTGGACAGGGTCTTCCTCTTTATGAAGCCCTCTTTCCCGCCTTCACGTTTCTCCAGACTGGAAACAATCATTTCTGCCAGATCCTGCTGGAGCCGCTGGAAGTTTTCCCTGTGGACACATCATTACAAGARCACATCAGTCAGTTTTATTTCTTTAACACATTATAGATTGTGGAGGACTGAAACTGACAAAAAATGGCAGAAATATATTAATGGTACAATAAATAAATAAATAAATAAATAAATAAATAAATAAATAAATACAGTTAAAAAGCAACAATTAATTTAAAAACTGAGATTTTTAACTCGTTTTCTAATTTAATTGACCTTCATATTTACTTTTCCAGCTTAGCTCCAACAAATGATATACAGTATTTTAGCATATAATTTAAATTTGACTTTTTTAATATATATATCCAGTATATATTGTTATCAATATACAGGAAGGAGCAGGATCAATGTGCAGATCAATTGTGCATGCCGGCGCTACCTCAATTTAGTCAAACGTTTAAAGTTTAGTTTAAAACAAASGCACAGGTAAGTCTTTTTCTTGTATATCTTTAAAAACAGTAAAATTTAAATTATGTGCTAAAATATATAATTTGTTGGAACGAAGCAGGAAAAAAAATATGACTGTCAATTAAAATTTAATACCGTGAGGGAAAGTTCTCCTTTTGGTGCATTTATGTGAATTTATTTATTGGAACATTTATATATTTCTGCTATTATTTTTAATTGTCACTTTAAATCCTCCATATCAAACAACTGAAATTGACCAACAATTCAGTCAAACAAAACAAAAATTTTAAAAAAGACATAAAAAAATTTTACAGACACCAAAAATATACAGTAAAAATGGGTTTTACGCAGAGATTTTAAAGTTTTATCTCTTTCAAAATACTTTTATGACTAAGTTTAGATCTTGAAACATCTTAGAGAAACGGCTGGGTGTGTAGGTTTAAGGACAACATAAATCAGGCATGGAAAGACCATTTAAAATTTAAAAACAAGCTGTAAAATGTTAAATTTGTCCTGACTCAAACAGAAAACCAGCAAGGTGAAGCTAGGACCCGACCTACTGCATTTGTTCCTGTTTTTAGCACTTATTAAAAGACGAGCTGCTGTGTTCTGGAGATGATTTATCTAAACTAACATACAGAGTGTTACAGTAGTAGGCCAAGCAAGAGGTAATAAAAGCATGAATCACTTTTTCCATGGCTTTGATAGTTGTGGCTTCGCCTTCATGAGGAGCCTTAACTGGAAAAAGCCTGATGTGACAACATTGTGTCAAGGCACAAATATGCACATTTTTATCACAGTTTGAGCCTATCACAGCTTCACATGGATTCTAATGTGCACAACATTCATACTTGCATGGATGAAATATATGCTTTCCTAGCTTTGAAAGTATGGGGCACCAAGTGTGAAATAAAATGTTTAAAAATGTCACCAACATTATTTAGCTCATACTAACAGCATTGTTGTGCCATCCCAAAAAGCACTAAAACAGCAAATCCAGTCTGGAGTGAAAATTTTGTGAAGTTAATTAAAATCATATTTTTTTCAAGGTAAACTTGAGATTGGTCTTTAGTTTAAGAACCTATCTTTTCCCCATTAGAGACAGAACAACAGCTTGAACACAACAGCTCATTGAAAGGGACAAGTTGATCAGAGTAACAACAGTTGGACCGTGAGGGTTAAAATATTTTCATATGAAAAGCCCTCAGAAATCTAATCAACACATTAGGGGTAAATATGAGACGTTACTCACGCTGTCGGAGGTGAAGGCAGGTTGTATTTTGCCCCCGTTACTCCTGTTAACCAGTACGTCATCTCTTTCCCTTTTCCCTGTGAATGACATAAAATCATAAAGTTTGCCTGTGACGTTTAACTCTCGACTGGATGAGCAGTAACATAAATACATCAAAGCCACCTTCAGGTACGTCTCTCCCCTTCTGCTAAACTCAAACTTGCAATCTGTCCTCTGCAGGATGTTGATGGTTGGCTGGCTCACATGGATCCTCAGAGCTGGAAGACAAAGACACAAATAGTTGTTTATTCTGAGGAGGTGTTTTTTTTTTTTTTTTTTCATTTTGTTGACAGTTTTAGATGGTGTCTCTCTTACGCAGGCCTGTGGACTCCATGCGTGATGCCGTGTTGACTGTATCTCCAAAGAGACAGTATCGAGGCATCTTGTTTCCAACCACCCCGGCTGCACACGGACCTGAACACAAACACAACTGGATGAAATCTTAATGATCATTGGGATTCAACAATTATTGTTTAAAATTAGAAACTTCTGTCTTCATTCATCCCTTGTTGTCATCATTGTAAACTTACATTTTTAAAAGTTTTTCAATCAGGAGTATTTTGTACCTGAATGCACCCCGATACGTATCCACAGAGGAATCCCTGGCAGGTGCTGCAGTTCAAAGGTCCCCACAAAGGACAGGATGTCCAGGGCCATGTGGGCGATGTCCACTGCGTGCCTATTACCGTTTCGTTTGGGTAAACCTGACACAACCATGTAGGCATCACCTATTGTTTCAACCTGAGGTGAAATGAGAAACAGATATTCAGCAAACATTAAAATGAAATTTACGTAAGTCTAATTCTGAACTTGGTGTCCAAAAAAGTTTAGATTAAAATATAACACAAATCCTTTAAAGTGGCATTCTTTAGGAAAATAATGGACGATTATCTTACATAATATATAGTAGATAACTTTTTGAAGAATCTCAGTTTAGAGAGACCGATTAGTTTTAACCAGATAAATGAGCTAATGGCTAGTCTGAGTAGGGCCAAGAATGAAGTGAATTACTGCTGACTTAAAACAAACAAAACAATCACAATGGTTTATGCAAATGTCTTTATGTAAACCAGGACTATCAACCTTGAGTTAAACAGTTATTCTAGCAGATATACAGTAGTATGATACTCCTGCAGGAAATGCTAAAGCTAGCTGCTTCTGCTTTATTTTTTTAATAATCACAGATCCCTTGCAAATATCCATGTACTAAGAAGTGGATGGTGGTATAAAGGTTTATAAAATGGCATCTGCATGAACTGCAGTGACATTTTAAAAGCAATCCAGTTTCTCTGCACAAAACAGAACTTGTTGGACTCTGTCAGGACATGAAGGATGAAGCAGTGTGTTGATTGATGCTTCAGAGCTTCTTTCGCTCTTATAAGGATTGTTGGTGGTGGTGACGAAGAAAATGAGTGGGATGCCTCMTTTTCTTATAGTTGTTTCTGCACTTCTAGGGGTGATAGTGGGGACAGGAACTAGGTGTTCGTCCTGTAACAGGTGGGTTGCCTGTTCAAAACCTCTGCCCTGTTCATCTCAGTCATTGGGTCCTCGGGCGAAACAATTCCTGGTGGGAGGTAGTCAAAGGGATCTGGTGGCGCCGGTGGATGGCAGCCTTACCTCTGTCTGTCTTCCCCAGGGCGGCTGTGGCTACAATGTAGCTTACCTCCATTAGTGTGTATAAATGGGTGAATGTGTGTATGAATGTGTTAATAACTGAAATGTGTGGCACTTTGGAGTCCTTGGAATTAATAAAGCGCTTTACATTTGCGTATTTTCTCAAAGTTAAACACAAATCGTATAAGTTAATTACAACTGGTCCTTTGKGGGCAACAATAATGCCCATGTGGTGAAGACAAGTTTGACGTCTCTGACCTAGGAGAAACTGGAAGGTATTGCTAAAATGARGGTTTCCCTTCTGGACCTGTTGTCTCTGCAGCCCGACCACATAACGTCCTAASATGGATGGAATTCCTTTTGTTTTTGGCCTCGCTCAGATTAGCCTTTATCTGGTCAAGCCAGTCAGCTTTAAACTCTGTATCTCCAAATGTTGTTCATAAAGCTATCTACAACCGCCAAGAYATTTATTGTTCAAAACTTTTACACAGAACACCTCTWACAAATATCTGAACTACTGCAACCAGAAAGAGAGCTGAATCCTTCTGCCCGTWGCTGCTCTGCTTCTCAGACATCACTCCTTAGATGATGCTAAACTACCTTATACACATCGTGATGGTCCAGAATGCTGTCAAAGTTCTTGTAGATCTCGTTCAGCATGTCTACCACCTCCATGGGGGTGCTGTAGTGACAGAGGGTGGTGAAGCCCACAATGTCGCTGAAATAGATGGTCACCTCCTCGAACAGCTCGGGCTCCACTCTGCCTGTCTCCTTCAGAGAACGCACCACAGGCCTGAGGAAATGCCAAAAWAYATTTTGTCATGAGATGCACTGCGAATAAGCTGCTAAATTATTCCTTCTAAATCATWTATAAGTACAAWATGTTGCTGTCAGGAGATAARCATACCCAGGCAACAGCATGAAGTTGAGACGATCTGCTCTGTCCCTCTCAGCTTTGTACAGAGCCGTCCTCTCCTCCACCAGACGCTCCAGAGTTCTGGARTACATCTGCAGACGACGGATCAGGTTGTCCATGTAGGTCTCAGTAGCCTGATTGTGCAAGTTACTGTAAGGAGCCAAAGATTTCAAAAAGTAGATAAAATTAAAAATAATCTTTCATTACAATAATAATAAGAATAATAACGTATTTTATTTGTTAGCGACTTTCAAGACACCCAAGGACATTTCACAACATTAAAAACATAATATTAACAATGAAATGGCTATAAAAACAGTAAAATCAAAATGAAAATAACTTCAAAAATTRAAGTGAGAAGGCTRACTTGAACAGAAGAGTTTTGAGTTGTGTTTTGAAAGTAAGAAGAGAGTCGCTGTTACGGATGTCAGAAGGAAGAGTGTTCCAGAGTTGGGGAGCAGAGTGAGAGAAGGCGCTGGTTCCCATAGTGCTGAGGCGGACAAGAGGCACGTTGAGGTGGATGGAAGAGGAAGAACGGAGGCAGTGTGAGTGGGTGGTGATGTGTAAGAGATCAGACAGATAAGGAGAGGCGAGGTTGTGGATGGCCTTGTATGTGTAACAGGATTTTAAATTGAATTCTGAAGAAGACTGGAAGCCAGTGAAGTTGTTGTAAAACTGAGGTGATGTGGTAAAATGAGGTCATTTTGGTGATGATGCGGGCAGCTGAATTTTGAACCATTTGAAGTTTACTGAGTGATTTTTGAGGCAGACCAAAGAGGAGAGAGTTACAGTAATCGATTGGAGAAATGACCAGACTATGGACCAGGAAGAAAGCAGAGTGCGGGGAAAGGGGTGGACGGAGTCTACTGATGTTCTGAAGGTGGAAATATGCAGACCGGATAATATTATTGATGTGAGAGTGAAAAGAGAGAGTGTTGTCAAGAATGACATCTGGACTCTTGACCTGAGGGGAGGGAGAAACCAAGTAGGAATGGTGAGGGAGAAACTGTTAACTTTAGATAAGGTAGATTTAGTGCCAATTATGAATAGAAACTCCGTTTAATCACTGTTTAATTTAAGGAAGTTAGATGTGAACCAAGATTTTATTTCAGCTAAACAGGAAGTGAGGGAGGAAGGCGGGAGTGAAGAATTGGGTGCAGTGGATAAGAAGAGCTGGGTGTCATCAGCAAAACAATGAAAGTGGATGTTAAATTTATGGAAGATACAGGTGCTGGTCATAAAATTAGAATATCATGAAAAAGTAGATTTATTTCAGTAATTCCATTTAAAAAGTGAAACTTGTATATTATATTCATACATTACATACAAACTCATATATNGGAGCAGAGTGAGAGAAGGCGCTGGTTCCCATAGTGCTGAGGCGGACAAGAGGCATGTTGAGCAGACTATGGGCCAGGAAGAAAGCAGAGTGAAGGGGAAAGGGGTGGACGGAGTCTACTGATGTTCTCAAGGTGGAAATATGCAGACCGGATAATATTATTGATGTGAGAGTGAAAAGAGAGAGTGCTGTCAAGAACAACATCTGGACTCTTGACCTGAGGGGAGGGAGAAACCAAGGAGCTGTGAATGGTGAGGGAGAAACTGTTAACTTTAGATAAGGTGGATTTAGTGCCAATTATAAATAGAAACTCTGTTTAATCACTGTTTAATTTAAGGAAGTTAGATGTGAACCAAGATTTTATTTCAGCTAAACAGGAAGTGAGGGAGGAAGGTGGGAGTGAAGAATTGGGTGCAGTGGATAAGAAGAGCCGGGTGTCATCGGCAAAACAATGAAAGTGGATGTTAAATTTATGGAAGATATTGCCATGAGGGAGAAGATGATGAAAAGAAGGGGCCCCAGGACCGAGCCCTGGGGCACACCTGCAGTCACAGGGAAGGAGTGGGATCTGAATGATTTAAATTGGATGAACTGAGTGTGACCAAAGAGATAACAAAAATATTCACTAAATCAATTGTGGTCCCAGAGAGCAGTGCAGTTCTTGTGTATTCTATAGTCAGGCATGTACTGTGCTTTTTAATCATTTAACATAGTAAYGAAAGAATGTGTCGAAGCACCTGAAAATCTTTCCAAGCGATAACTCAATTCGCTTGAAATCCGGCCTTCGTTCGGGGTCTTCATCCCAGCAGTTCTTTATCAGAATGTACAGCTTTGTGCACAAGATAAAAAAGGTATTATTTAACATAAATAACTACACAACATGAAGTCAGTGAGTAATGATGTGTGTGTGTGTGTGTGGGGGGGGGSGGGGGTACCTCAATCTCTCTATCTGATGCACTTTCAAAGTTCAGATCAGGTCTGAAGAAGGTGTTGTCTCGTGGAAACTGCACTCGGTACATTTTCTCTGAGAGATTTCAGAACAGTCAGCTTAAAAAGGAGTTACTGGACTGTGTTTCAATAAAACACTTTAATGAAATAAAAATAAAMATTTCTCACCAACAGGACCAATTGGGTTTTTACCTTTAGTTGTTAGTAACTTTRTAACGCCGGCCTACCTGTAGTATTAGAGCAGTATTGTGTGTAAAACGCTGTTTGCCTCAAAACAATCTCATGAGCGATGATGCCGTAGCTGTAAACGTCCCCTTTCTGGGACACGCCTTCTTTACGAAGATGCTCCGGGGCCGTCCACACATCTGAGAGGAGAAGAAAAGCTGAGTGTCTGACCATCTCAGATCTATAATGAACCTCAATGATGACCAGGCCCAGTCCCACCTCTGCCTGGCCTCAGAATGGTGTGGCAACCGAAGTCAGTGATCTTGACCACCATGCGGTTGTCGAGAACACAGTTGGTGGACTTGAGGCGACCGTGGACCTGAATATTACTGGAGTGGAGGTACGACATGCCCTGTTGACAATACACAGAGGAAAGTACTGTAAAAGTTGCACTTTACCTTATCACTRTTATATCTAAAGTGTCTCATTTTTATTGTGAAAATGCAAAAATTCTAATAAAAGTACTGAAGAAATTCAAAGATATATTATCTTGCAAAAAGGAATTAATGACCCTAACATTCCTTAAGAAATGCATTACACCCATCTCCTTTTGTGCCAAAGTTTTGAACAAAGATTTTGTTTAATCTGTTAAAACTAAAACTGTGTTGGGAATGACTCTCAGTCACTACCATGACAAATAGCTGTAGAAATGACTGAACTGGAGCCTTTTTGTGTTTGCTAAAGTCAATTAGCCTTGGCAGCCATCTTGAACTTGTTAATACTGCATCCAAAAAGTTTAAAAGTTCTACCAAAAGGTACCTTTATACAAAAATATTTTTGCATTATCTAATAGTGCCCAGAGAATGTGTTGTTGATGACTCCCAACAACTACCACACCAAATTTTAGCTCAATATCTGTAAAACTGACTGAGTTATTGTCATTGCTTAGCTTTGGAAGCTGTCTTGAATCAGAAGTTTATCATTTGTAGATGCATGWCTAATGAAGACTTTTTCAAAATAAAATAAAAACGATTCAGTGATTCATGAGATMATTTGCTGACATGCAAACATTCACGACACCAAAAACACACACACAGGAACACATCTACCAGGCTGCAGCTATGAAAGGTGAGCAATATATTAATCCATCAAGTGAAAGCGAGATTTTACTTTTAAAAAAAGTAACTTCTAAACAGTACCTTTGCGATGTCATACATGACTGATATCTTAAATTCCATGTCCATGAAGGTTTCATCAGGGTAGGATATCCTGTCAGTGAGAATGTGCTGAAAAAAAGAAGGAATGGATTTCATGTTTCATCACTTTATGACTGATTTCATGCTGTGTTATGGTCATGGAAAGATGGGGCATCTTATGATCACATATGTCACACATGTCACACATGGTGTGTGTGTGTGTGTGTGTGTGTGTGTGTGTGT